GCCAGATACTGATCAGTGTTGCATACAGTCATCATTCTCGGCGTGTCTACTATATCCACCTACACAGAATGGCACTTACAGCAACTGCTTCTGTAATTTCTGTGCCTCCTTCTGTCTTTGGATGGAAAATGCACAACAGTCATAAATATAATTCATATCGTATGTACGTCTCTAAAATTGGGGAAAGTCAGCTATTGCAAGTTCGAATTGATTCTGTCATCTAGAATCTAATTCATAATCTAATCGTCGCCTCTCCTTAAGGCTATTTCTGGAGTGGAAATTATAGTGGATGAAAAGGGAGAGAGTATTTTAATGCAATTTCATGACATAGATAACTATCATTGTTCTTTAAGCAGGACATTTACAGCTTAACCGTCACGTCTGTAAAACAGGGGGGTTGCTGAAAATTATGTAGGGAGTTAAAGATGGAATCCTCCCTCAGTCCCTGGCCAGGCCTTAAGGTGACTCTTCAGCCTCTCCAACCCGATTGCTCCCTTTTTGCTCACAAGCAGTGAGTTAAAAACCAAAAAACCTATAAATAGCCCTTCTATATTGCTATTACACCAAGGTCACTGTGCCTCCAGACTTCACTAGCCATATCCCTTTGGAGGGATTTGGAGATTTTGAGAATTTCTTACATTTGTCCAAAGATTTCTGGAAGTCTGACAAGAAAACTGCCAAGCTTCTGAGAATCCCAGTTATTTAAAAAAATAAGTATGCAAATGTGTTGTGCAATACCTGTGCAGAGAATGAAACATTTCCTAAACTTAACCAGCGTCCTGTGCGTGTGCTACGCTGTGGCTGTGTGTGTGCACACTTTGCACACCCAACTGGAGAATGCAGAACGCCCTCTCATTCTGGTGCTTACTGGAAGCTTCAGATTTATTCTGTACCTGCTGAGCCATCGTACTGTTCAGGGAGCGTATGTGTGGCACGGCTGGAAAATGTTGGATTTGCCACCTGTGTCTTACACTATCATGTATTTCTCCCTGAGAAATACTGATGGGAAATAGCATAGAATCATGAGAAGTTGAGGGTAGAAGATAAGGTTCACGAGGTTATCCAGTCCACTCTGCTGCTCTCAGCTGGAGTAGCTTTTCCAGTATTTGTCTAACTTGCTCCTAAATCTTGCTCCAGAGGTTCCCCCAGCAATTTATGCTTCAGCTGGAGTAGCTTTTCCAGTATTTGTCTGACTTGCTCCTAAACCTTCTCGTAGGAACTCCAGAGGTTCCCCCAGCAATTTATGCTGGTGCTTCACAGAATCACAGAATCTTCTAGGTTGGAAGGGACCTCAAAGATCATCTTGTCCAACCGTCAACTTAACTGACAAAAATAGACACCCGCACAACAAACAAGGAGCATCATCACTAAACCATACCTCCCAGCACTACATCAACCTGTCTTTTGAACACCTCCAGGGATGATGCCTCAACCACCTCCCTGGGCAGCCCATTCCAATGGCTGATGACCCTTTCAGTGAAAAAATTTTTCCTAATATCCAGCCTGAACCTCCCCTGGCGCAACTTGAGGCCATTTCCTCTTGTCCTGTCGCCTGTGACTTGAGAAAAGAGACCGACCCCCATCTCTCTACACCCTCCTTTCAGGGAGTTGTAGAGAGCAATAAGGTCTCCCCTCAGCCTCCTCTTCTCCAGGCTGAATAACCCCAGCTCCCTCAGCCTCTCCTCATAAGACTTGTGCTCCAGACCCCTCACCATCTTTGTTGCCCTTCTCTGGACCCGCTCCAGCACCTCGATGTCTTTTTTATGGTAGGGGGCCCAAAACTGGACACGGTACTCGAGGTGGGGCCTCACTGCCTCATTGGACAGCTTTTCCTAGCATCTAATTTGAATCTTTCAGGTTATTATGCCTTGTTCTCTCCGCTCTCAAACGTAAGACAGACTCATTCTCTCCTCTTTTCATTAGCTCTGTTTGCATTTGAGGCAGGCATCGTATCCCACTCAGTCTTCCCTTCTTCATGGGAACGTGACCAATTCATTCCAGATGTCTTTATAAGGCTCAGGTGACTCCCAAGCCTTCAGCCTCTCTATTTATTCTCCTCTGGTTGGTCCAGGCTTTTTCTGAAGTGTGGCATCTGGCTGTGGACACGGTGCCCCCTCTGCAGAGGTCTTTCTTAGCAGAAAGAGAAGATTCTTCACATGCGCTGCAGCCATCACTCCCACTCACACAGTTTGGGATGGGACCTGCCTTTTCTTCACTTTTGCAACACCCCAGCATTGCTGGTGGTATATTCAAACTGACAGGATCATTTTGAATCCTAATCCTGTATTCCTGCCTATCAAAAGTCCCTCCCAGCCTGCCATCGGCATGTAAATTTAATAAGGGATCATTTTGAATCCTAATCCTGTATTCCTACCTATCAAAAGTCCCTCCCTATATTCTCTTCTCCATCATCCAGGTCATTAGGAAAATATGAAGTAGTGCAGAATGAGGACAGACTTCTGTGACGTACCATCCACTCATGCTTCCATTTCCACAGATAGATATTTATCCTCTCAGGTTTTGTTGGTTTTTTTTCCTAACTACTTTTGCATTCATTCTGCATCAATTTCATCTAAACTGTGTTTCCCCAGGTTATAAAGAATGTCACACGAGGGAGTGTCGAGAGACTTGTAAAGTCAAACCACCTACTGCTTTTTCCCTGTCCGCAAGGCCAATTACCCTGTCGTAGAGGGAGATCAGATTGGTTTGACACAGTTTGTTCCTAACAATCCATGTTGTCTGTTGCTACCTTGTTTTCTTGCGGGTGCTTACAAATTGTTTGATTATTTTCTTCAGTACTTTTCCACGGGTTGAAGGTTAGTTGACTGGGCTATAATTTTGCAGATCTTTCTTTTTAAAGGTAGCTCCTACATTTGCTCCTCCATCCTCACAGATAAGCACTAACATCTTTAAGACTCTTCCAGATAGTGTAAAAGCATCGAACTCATCTAAATACGGTATTTTTCCTCTTTTGCTAAGGCTGAAATCTTTAGTTTTGCCAGAAATTCCCTCGGACAACAGACCCAGAGCCTGAACACCTGCCTGTTTTTAAAAGCAGACTTTACAAAGTCTGGAGTGATGTGGGAAATAATGGATGGGCAGTCCATTTCTGCAGCGTGCAGGGGAGCCCAGCCCTCCTGGTGGACTGCTTCCCTAGGAGAAGATGCTATAAAAGCAGATGTTCTGGGTTGGGAGCTCTCTGTAGATAAAATCCAGCCCTTAGTGAAGTTGTTTTTTTAAAGATGCCCAGTGCTTGCATGAGTCTGAAATGTGGAAGCCTTTCAATCAGCTTCTCAACTATTATCCCTTTGATACAGTTTTCTTTTTTAAAATAGACTTGATCCAAAAAAAACCTCCTCGAGATAATGAAATGTTTTTGTTTATTGATCCCAAGGGAAGTCAGAAGAGGCTAAAACTGGTCAGATAAATGATTTTCATTAATATTAAAGGGTAGCTCAAAGTTTCTTGCTTCATTTTGTGTTATATCGTTCTGTGTGGGAGGTAGAAAAAGGAGTTGTAATTTTTTCCATTCTTAAACAGACCCATAACAGGAATAATGTCATTAAAATTGTTCATATGTATTCCACAGAAAAGTGTCATCTTGAAAGTGATCAGATACATTTATCTACTATGCCATACAATTTGTTGTCTACTTAGCATCAGTCATTTCTATGTGTTCTGGGAGCATATTATATATAATTTGAGTATTACTAATGAATTCAGCTCCTTTTCTGAAGTCATTTGTTCAGTTAAATATCAAAAGAGAACAACTCATACTCCTTAGAATTCAAGAAATAGATTTAAATGACTGACTTTAAGCAAGGCCGAATAGGCCTTTTCTCTCCCCCTTTCTAAAATTCAAGAAATAGATTTAAATGACTGACTTGAAGCAAGGCTGAATAGGCCTTTTCTCTCCCCCTTTCTGAGAATGCAGATAACAGCTATCACTTAAAAATTAAGCTTTTTAATACATTTTTGCAATCTGTTTTGATCAGTATCAAGAGTCAACATAAAGGTATAATTAGTAGCAGTCGGCTGAGTGTATCAGGAGTATACTCTGTATTGCTGTGCTCTGAAAGGGCTGTACTGGACTACTAGAAGCCAGTTCAAAACTGTAAGGTCCATCATGTGCCTCCCTTCTGCAGAGAGACCACCCTATGAATTCACTGGATGGAACTTTTATGTAAAAATCAGTTACCAGATAATGTTCCTTGTTTTCAATCCCACATGAAACCTTACTATAGGCAGAAGGGATTAATGGTTCTTTCCTTTCCCCTAGTGAACAACAAAGACTACACTGTTGTAAAATTTGTAAAAAAAAAATAAATTGTATATCTAAATTCACACATCACAGTGTATCATTTGCATCTACCGTACTCACTAGAGTTTTTAGGTGTGTCTTTCTCCCCACAGTCCTGATGTGAATGGGGCTCAGAAGTTTCCCTGTGTTTTAGGGAAGGACAATTTATCCATTGAGAAATAACGTTTCAACATTTTGGTTTGTTTGCTAGCTCTAACATCTTAAAACAAGTTCCTCCTTTCTGTAGGAAAGGGATTTCCCCCCAGTTTAATCTTCCCCGTTCCCACTCTGCTTGTCCCTGGTCCTGCAGTGTTGGAAGGACCTCCCTGAAGCAATGCTGATTTATGTAAGAATCCATGTAGGGTTTAAAAGTCTGACTTGATGAGTCAGAAAACAGGTAAGGATATGTATTCATTAAATCAGAATGCTGCTGGGAATGTCGTAGGTCTCTTATCACCCATTTCAAACAAGTATTTAGCTTCTAATTAGATTAAGTATCTGATTAAACTGAGAAAAAATGGAAAGTCAGAATTCAGAGGAGCTCAGGTTGCTCCTGCTGTAACAGTCACCTGAACTAAGTCCGTGGTATTTAATGTTCCTTTGGGATTTGTTCCCCAGAAGTAGATGGGTGAGGTGGTGCATTGAAAGTTTCCTATTTCTGCTTCATTTTCTAAATACCTATTTTTACATTTTAACATATAGCTCCATCAGCCCTCCCAGACGCAAGTGGGACAAGCAGCCTCACAACCCAATCTCCTGCATTTGGCTCACAGTCAAGCATCTATGTCTCAAAGCCCAGTGCGTCAGGCTTCCTCTTCTTCCTCCTCATCCTCCTCCTCTTCAGCTTTGAGTGTTGGCCAGTTAGTCAGCAGTAAGTATCGCTCCCTGGCTCTCCTTAATTCTCCCCTCTGTTTGTCCTCCTCACTGCTGAGTTTCCTGATCTGCTTTCCCTCCTTTATTTTCCATATAGTAGATTGTATATTGCTAAGTAGAGTGACTCTTACCAGTAAGAACTGCTCAGTGCTGTCATGAATGGGGCTTAAGGTAAACATGCCTTGAAAAATGATAATCAATGCTAAAAATGGCCATAAAAATGGTAGCAGCCATTAATTGACCTAGGAGGGCAATTCTTTTAACTAAAATGTAGTTTATGTTCTTCCGAAATGGGAAGGTTTTGTATCAGTCAATATAATTAATTATATTGCCCAGAATTTGGTGGGCAGACAGATCCTCCTACTTTTTGGTTAGGCTGCTTGTTTGTTACTGTTTGTTTGCATAGTTAGTATAGCAAACCATTTTACACACCGTTGGCACTACACAAATCTAGAGCAAGAGACCTTTCTTGCCAGGCAAAGCTTGGACAGTTGAAAGAAGAGATAACTGGACCATGGGGGAGAGGAGAGAGAAGCCCTCTGCAGGGAAATAAGTGAGTTTTGGGGTTAGGGTTGTAACAGCTGAGCCCCTCAACAGCCCTTTCCTCCAAATCACACAGTTCAGAGTCTTCATGATTACCTTATCACCATTAACTTTGGTCTTTACATAGCAAAAGCAACAGGTTAAAAAGTATACATAAGAAACATCAACAGTTTTTGCCTATCTGCAAAAATCTGAGTGTATTGAATGACCTTGTTTGAAGATACACCATGTGCGTATTTCAAGTAGACAAACACGATGGCTCATGCCATATTGGTGATGTAAAATACACGAGTGAGAGGGGCTTATGAAAGGCTTAGGAGAAACTGTCATGCAAAGGAAGATGTGAAAAAGTCTTGGTTAGATTATTTCAGAGATTGTTTACACGGGGAAGTTACTAGCAGAGCTATAGTAGCAAAATTACTCTCGTATAACTCCCAGGGTGAATATTTTTATTCTGGAATAAAAATATCCACATTGGTAGCTGTAAGTACATAAAATATATAGATGTAATTATAGTGATATAAATACACTTCTACTCCTCTGTCAGTAAATTTTCTCCCGTAGACAAGCTTGTAGGAAGACAAATAAGAGACTTCATGTTAAAAATACATAAAGTTACCCTTTGTCTATGTGGGAAAATTGACTAAAATAGCTAGTGCAGAGTAAGTTACTTTTCAATGGCTGGTCCAGAACAGCCTCCCTTGTGGACCTTCTTATTAGAAAATTATTCTAGAATAACTACTGGGGGGGACTTTACCCCACAACAGTTATTCCAGTCAATTTCCCCATGTGCATAAGTGCACTACACAATAAAAGCAACATGGAAGAAGCCCTTTTAAGTTTACAGGATAAATCCATCAGAAGTTAGGAAGTGCTAGAAAAATAGTTGCTTGTTCAACTGCATGCAATTCCTCTTAGAACGTGTCTTTTACGGTAACAATACGCGTTGTGATTAAAACCCTGCAATCATGATTTTTTTCTCATCTTTCCCAATGGAATTGTTCAGGGATGCAACAGAATTAGTAATGCAACAGGCAGGTCATTGTCCCAGGGTTTGTTTCCTGCCCAATTCACTAAGCTGCTCCCCAGTTTGAGGTAGGGAGCTGTAGAAGGGTGAAGGATGGTTGTGATCCTTCAGGTGGTAGAGGGCTGAGGAGCTGAAGCTTTCTGTCTGCCACGTAATTCCAGGGCAATGGCAGGCAAGTCACTTAAAACAGATTTTTCACAAGTGTTCCCTCAATATCCAGCTTGAGATTCTGGACTTTAATTTACAGGAAAACCTGGTACTCACAGTGACAATTTTAAGTGCACTTTCACTGTGAAACTGTATAAAGAACCATTTAAAGATACAGTCTAAAAAATCATCTCCTACTTGACCTAGGCTGGGTACCCAAAAATGCTTTTTCCCTTAATATCTGTCCACTTCTCTGTGAATGAGAAGGGGAAGACCCTCATCTTGTAGAAACACAAGAAGGAAACAGAAGAGCTCAAGAGGAAGTGAATAACTCTGTCTTTGGTGAAGAGCTTTAATAGAGGTCTGGGGCCACACACTGAACAAGTAAAAAGGCAATACATCAATCAGTTCCTCTGTAATGAAGCACAATTTGTCCTGTGCACTGGATGAGGCAGGGGTCTGGGGAAAAAGAAGCGGGAATTCGGGGCTCAAAGACTCCACCAGGCTGTGTTATGGGCTACTGGAACTCCAGCATTTTGGAGCTTCTGCATGTTTATCTGTGCAAGTCTAAAGATGTTCTTTTAGCTTTATTTTTTGCTTGGATAAATATCAAGGATGTTCCAAAAGCAGAATAGTAATGTAAGTCAGCCATACGGTGAGATAATGCTTATATTCATAGTTGGAAATAGGAGATCTTCCAAAGCAGAATAGTAATGTAAGTCAGCCATACAGTGAGATAATGCCAATTCATAGTTGGAAATAGATCTTCTCTCAGTTGAATGGATGGAGAGGCTGATGGGTTGTGTTACCATCTTGCTGGTCTTGCTCTGAGAAAGACACATGCTGTGCTCATGGATTTGGCTGAGAGCAGAGGAGTTTGAGGCACAGGAATATCAATTTGGGGAAGAGGGGGAGATACTAATGAACATAGACTGTCTATGTGTTCCTCTCAGGCTTGGCTCCTTCCGCCACTTGTCCTGTTCCAGACCCATTACTTCCTCACGCAGTAAGGATGAGGAATTCTCCACACAGTCTGTGTTCCCTTTGCCTCCATGCTTTTTTCCCCCTCTTGCCTTCTCCCTGCAGTCCATCATTCCTCAACTCCCCTTCCCATTTCAGTTCTCCTCCAGCTTCCAGTCAGTCTCTGTCCCAAGACCATTTCTGTGTCCATTTTACCAGCATTTTTATTAGGTAGTTTCTGTCCTCCTCTACCTTGTTTTATCACTAGTGCTGCCTTTTTCCCTATTTTCTTTACCACAGTGATTACTACTCTGCGTAGTCAGGCCCTCTCTCCCCCCACACCTAACTCAAATCCTAGCTCCTTAGTAGTCTTAAGATGTTTTTTGCCTTCCATCATTTCTTTTTCTTCAGACTTGAGGTTAATTTTTGCCCTCTCTGCATCCACATCATGTAGATGCTGCCCCCGCCCTCCCTAGAAGCCATTAGAGGAGCATGGAAAACAATCACCAAGAAGAGAGACAAATCAGTCTCTGTGTCTTTACTGCCATCCTGGCCCAAAGCAGCCAGAGCCACAACCATAGGAGGGGGATGGTTCTTCTCCATCTACTTCAACCTTGGGCTCAAGTGTCCTCAGTATAGAGAAAATCTTAAAGAAAACTCCACGCACAGGTCTAGAAAATCTCTACTGAGCAGATACGCAACTTTGGAAGCTCACATGCTAATCTGCTTGAGACAGATTTTCACTTGGGATGGTCAGAACCTCCCTGACTCCTATCAAGGCCATGCTTCAAGTTTTAGGGAAACTGAAGCTTCTTAAAGAAAAGAGGGTTCTTTTATCCTGGGCAGAAAAACATGTTTTATTAGCCTCATTCTCAGAAGTGGTTGACCTTAAATTTGTCTTGTAATGGCAAATGCCAATCAAACTTAGCCATAGTCAATACCCTACCTGTGATAATGAATGACACAGAGAAGATAGTTGGAGTGTTTCTCCTGTGCTCAAAACAGAAGAAAATGTGATTAAATCAACAAGCGGGGAGTAAAGAAAATACAATCAGACTGAGGAGGGTGTTACGCTTGGGAATTAATTCACTTGGACCCAGATCTTAAGAGCATTCCAAAGGGTGAAGATACTTATAGGAATCTCCTGTAAAAAAAGCATGACTATAATTACACAGGAATAAAAAGTTCTGGATTTGTTTTAAATCTATGTTCTGGGCTTCATCCAGTCCCTAGCATTGAAGATGAACAGACTGATTAGTGTGAGGGGCAGATCAACTAATTTCTGCTATTTACGTAGCATTATCACACAGCGAGAAGTAAAACAGTGATCTCAATGATCCCTGGTGGCTGTCCAGCAGGTTCTTGAGAACATCTAGCCAACCATGAACTGGAGCTACCACTGCACGTAAGCTGGCTTGAGTTGGCACGTAAGTGACAATGCTCCAGGGAACAAGACAGCTACCTGCTGGTCTCTAGTAATATAGAGAGAGCCTACAAGAAAGAAGAAAATATGGGGAGTTCAGTGGGGAAAGATCCAAACACCTGTGTAATGAAACATGAAGAGGCAGACGGTCTTTGATAATACCACCCTTTTAGACAAATGGTCTTAATTGAGCTTCATGAATTTGAGAATTGTTTCATGTGACTAAAAAACCATTTGGATCCACCTGTGCCTGGGAAGGGGGGAAACAGACAACAGACAGAAAGGGATCCCTGTTTTGCTCCTTTGCAGAATCCATGTGGTTTCTTAGTGCAGGTCCCCAAATGGCAGGGTCACCTCTTTTCCAAGCCTACGGTCCATCATTGCACAAAGCCTTCTCAGTGTCCCAGCTCCCATGCTGGCTAGCAGAGCTTTTCACAACAGGCCTAGAACTGAGATCCAGTGTCTGCCAAAGTCCATTCAGAGTCTTTTAGTGGGATAGGGCCTGCAACGGGTGGGTGGTCCTGAAAGAAATCCACGAGGGCAGCAAGCAACATCTTGTGGCCTCCTGAACATCTCTTTGATTGCTTCACCCCTCCTGAGGCAGGAATTTGGGGCTTTCCTTTTCCTCATCCGTTGCAAAGCTGCAGTCCAGGCCTCCAGCAGAGGCCTTAGAGTCAAGCACCTTGGTAGAGATTTGCCATATTCCAGAAATTGTTGCCAAATACAGTGAAGTTAATGTAAAACTAGGCATATTCAGCTACCTTATTCAGTTCATCAAATTGCTTAGAGCAACAGAACTTCAGTAAATAAATAATTACTTGGGGGAAGGTTCTGCCCACTTAGTGTAAACAGAGTAACTCTCTTTACGAGAGCCCACCTTACATCAGTGAAATTACTA